GTTAGGAGGAATATTAAAAGAATACTAAATTATAGAGTAAAGCTTGTGATTTACTAAAATATTTGAAGTAATTAAGATATACAGGATATACATATCCACATTCGATGGACCCATCTGGCAACCCTATATGGCTACCCATTTTCGACAGAACCATATGTTATGTATTTCAAATGAAAGGAAAACAAATATTTTGATTTCGATGATAATAATCAATTGATTTGGTTCAAGTAGACTTGTTGACTTCACTTTTTTGATTATGATATGTCTCAAATGACCGGCTTGAGCCTGTACGGCGTATTCTTCCCGTCTCTGTCAAGAGATATAGGGTTGCCAAATGGGTCCGTCGACTGTGGACAGCCATACAAATACTTAAATGAAAGTCGAGCATTCAGTTGACTTTCCAATTCAACTGTACTGTAGCTATTTTTGGCTACCCCAAATTGGGAAGAAATGAATTCAAAAGAATTAAGTTGAGTTTCGGCTAAAATTTTTGTCTCTCTGACCACTGTGCATAGACAATTTGCATGCTTAACCCTAAGAGCTCATAGTCCAGGGTATTTCCTAGTCGGCACTTTTCTTGCACTTGACATTTTCACAACTTTTGCTTCTTTATTTGAACAGCGGCAAGCTGGCGCGCATGCCCGCCATGACCTCGTCCCAGAGCGTCACCTTCCGGCACGGCTCCAACGTGGAGTTCAGCGAGAGCGGCTTCCCGGGTGCCTCAGCGCCAGGTGCCAACGACATGGCGCCCATTGAGGGCTACAACCTGCAGACCGTGAATGCCAACAAGGCGCGCGACTTTGCCAATCCCATGTACGATGCCGTGCAGCTGGGCACCAGCTCCGATCCGGGCATGAGCAATGGCTCAGGTAATGCAGAGGCGACAGAGGCGACTCCTCCACCGTGTAACAATTGATCTAATGCAATCTCTTTTCCGACAGGCATCTACGATGTGCCACAGGAACCGTCCAAGTCAAAGGCCATGGGCCACTCCGGCTCCTTCACGGAGCCCGCCTCGGCCATCATAGCGCCGAGCAGCATCACGCACAAGTCATCGCCACAGCTGCAGCTGCGCACGCGCGAGCTGGACCCATCGGCAGACACCGGCAAGGATACCCAGTATCTGGTGGAGGAGGATAAGTCAGAGTGCTGATATAAAGCTAATCAGGTCGTGGTTGCGCTGCCGCTGCCGCTCAGCTGTCGGCGTCAGCAGCGGACGCAGCCGCGGCCCAACAGTTATCCGCTGCACGCATAGCACCGACCCAACCAATACCAATACAAGCAACTGCAACAACAACAACAACAACAACAGCAACACGAACATCGCCAGCAAAAGCATCAACCAGATCAACTGAAGCCACGACAACAGCAACAACAACAACAACAACAACAACAACAGGAACAGAGGAAACATCACAAATCTTGGCATGCCGCCTCCAGCGAGAGCAGCACAAAACTAACCACAAAAGTTTAAAACTACCTAGATCTATATTTGATATATGTCTATATATCTGACGGACATCGACAACAACAACAACAACAACAACTACAACATGGCCAAAGGATCACCTGTTCCAATTGAGTCACGTTTAGTGGGCACAGTCCGTTGCCAAGTGCATGCATATCCCATATAAATAGATGTATAGAAGATACACACACACACACACACATGCATATATGTATGTATACCTGCTGCAACCTTCGCTGCCTCTCCACTAGCTCCCAGCCCCGTGCTTAAACGTCCTCTACGCAAACATTACCTACAACACATATCCTTGGAGACGAACGTGGGCGACAACAGATCCAAACAGCCAACACGAGAAACAAGAAACAAAAACAAAAACAAAAACTAAACAAAAACTGTTGCAATTATTATTATATAAATTTATACACTATA